AATGGGGATAAATGTGGGGCGCGGAGGGCCCTTGACCAACCACGGAAAGCAACCGGTGAGAGGGGTATGTGTGTGTGTCAGGATTTTATTTTATTTTATTCATTCATTCCCGGCCTTTCTGCTTAAAAGGACCCCACGCTCAGCAAGGACATTGCTGGCATTTACGGGGGAGTGCTGGGTCTACATGGATCTTGGAAAAGGGACTTGGGGGGGAAAGGGGGGGAAAGGAGTAAGCGCAGCTTCCAGAGCCCCTCTGTCAGCATGGCAGAGTTGTGGTTCAAAACCTGGATTCTTTTCGGTTCTGGATATACAGATTAGCATTTAGCTGAAGTAGAGCCTCTAGCGTTAGAGGCAGTCTACCTGCAAGGGCCAGTTCCCAGAGAGAGAGCGTGGGAGAGGACGGGTTCTGCTTATGGGGTTTTGAGAAACGCTTGGTTGGCGATGGGGGGGCAGGATGTTGTTAGGGGTCTGGGGGACATCCATTCTGGACTGGGGAGGCACAAAAGAAGGGGGGTTCAAGGCACAAAGTAGCCCACAATTCGAATGGGTGTCTGGCATCATTTGGGCGGCAGTTTGGCAATATTCGGGTGTGTTTCTGTGTTCGCCACAAAGCCACACAGCTTTAAAAACAGCGTGGAAGCAGCGCACAATTTTTGCAAAGATTTGAAGGTGATACCGGGCGCCAGAGCGGAAAAAAAAATATCCAGTCCTGTGGCCGAGTTATAACAACCTCCTGTCCAGCCCCACCCCATCCTGGCTCTTCTGAACAAAATCAGTTGCTTTTAAATGTGTTTTAAATATTAGTTTCGTTTACCGTTTTTAATAGGATCCTTGTTTTGATTCTTTTCAAATATTTGTATACTTCCTGTGTTTTTTAGCTTTTAAATATCATTTTAATGACGTAAGCCGCCTTGCGTTCTTTTAAGGAGAAAGGCAGGGTAAAAATATTTAAAACAGATAAATTCGCTCAAATCCAGTTTAATGCAATCTGGCTTGGTTTGCATTAATTCCCTTGAGGCCTTCTTAAAATGGCTTTAAAAAATAAATAAAGGCCACATTTCTCTGTGCAATGCAGGGATATTTCTTCCCAAGCACACTGAGCTGGCTTGAGCATTGAGTGGCCCTGTATGACCCCACAAGCTGGCACTTTTCCCCTTCCTGATGGGGCAGGAATGGGGTATTTGTCTTTTCTCTCCCACGAAAAGCCATTCCCCATCATCACTCAGCAGCGATAGCTGCTGGATCCCACGGTAACGGCCATGGGTCTGGGGTTGGTGGTGGAGAACGTGGGGCCTCCATAGTCAGGAGCAGTCTATCTGAATAAGATGCTGGGAGACACAACAGGGCAAAAGCTAAGTCTTAGGCTGGATGTATGCATCTCTCCATGTAGCAGCCTGGCTGTATTGTGGAAAATGTCTTTGCTAGGGACGGGAAGGGGCTTATATGTGCCGCAAACACACACCCCCATTTAAAAATCTCCTTTCTTCTCTCTTCCTGCCTGCAGAGCTGTGGAGGATGACGGCTGAACCGCCTGAAAGAGGTAGGCCTGGCTTAAGCTCTGCTCTTCTCGCGCCCCCCCCCTTTTCGAAAAGAGGATCCAGGAGGATTTGCAGAAAATTAAATCGGCAAATTGAGAGCGCGCGGTGCAGAATTAGAAACGATTTTTTTCCCCTGTGGTTTGAAAAAGGACAGCCAGGCCTCTCACCTGAGTGGGGAGGATGGCTCGCCCAGGTGTTGTTCACGGTGGATGATGGGCCCCAGATCTCCTCTCTCTTTGAGGTGCTTTCTCTTTAAGCCGCTCTTAGACTGGGTTGCCCTTTGAATGGAAGGGGCTTCATCCGGACGTGGGAGGATGCTGACCCCGGGAGTAGCTCAGAGGGAGAAAACCTGGCCTTCTCGGTGGCTGCTCCCCGACTCTCGGATCACCTTCCTCCGGATATCCGCCTGGCCCCTTTGCTGGCAATTTTGAAGATGCTTTTTAACAACTTGGCTCTTCCAACAGGTATTTTTATTCTGATTCACCCACTGAAACTCTTAGCCAGTAAGATCATAAGGCTGCTGTTTAAAAGGCTTAAACGTTTTAATGTTGTTGTTGTGTTTTATTCTGATTTCTTGCATTGTATTCGTCTTTATACTGGTATTGAGGTTTCATGGTTAGAAGTTCGGTTTACTGTTTTGCTTTCCGTTTTGTTGTAAAATCACCCCGGGTGCCCTTTGGTTAGTTGGATGGGGGTGAATAAATAAAATAAAATCAATCCATAAAAGGGAGGGCTGTTGTTCAGCAGCCAGCAAAGCAGAGAATTTCCACAGGATGATGCTAATGCTGAAGGGTGTTGCCCCATTTTATAATCTTAGTCCCCTTTTTTCCATCCCTAGTTCCAGTGTTATAATGTTCATGTCAGCTGTCCTTGCAGGGTTGTTGTGAGTAGAATTGAAGAGACCCATTTGATTTGCCCGGAAAACTTTAAGGGGATATTTAAAATGCTACATTTGGTTCCATGGGGACTAAGGATGCGTAGTCTTCCGGCTTTGAGGGTGAAATTAGATTTGACAGGAACTCCAGAGGTATTTATTTAGAGATTACAAAAAAAAAATCTGAGAATTCGGATTTGGGGTTTGTGACCCAGAGAGATGGGGGTAGAGAGAGGTTCTCCCATGTCTGCTGCTGTGGTTAAAGAAAAAAAATTAACTTTATAAATATAAATCTGTTTTCAGGGGAAAGCATACTTTCTGGAAGATTTGAGTTTACAGTTCTTACATGCCGGGAGGGGGGGAAAAGGCGTAGATTTTTCTGGCGTTACAAACTTAGTAGCAGGGATGAAACTTTGGCCTACAAAAATAGCTCAGGGGTGTCGGCTTCTCAGGCCGGATGTGGCCTACGGGATAAGTGCGGGGTCTAATCTAAGGGCGGCCAACTTCTGAAGCTTCGGGACGTTGGTTTTCGGCTCATGGGACCTAAGAACTTTGAAATGAGCAAAACCCACTAAAAATCAAAACCAAATGTCGCCGTGAAAGCCCGCTGGCGGTTGTATTTTTGTAGATTCGGGAACGAGAACGTTAGAAATTCTTCTCCGTGATATTGCAAAGCCACTGTGTCCGGATGCTTTTTGCAGGGGTTTTCCCCCCACAGAGGGAGAGATCTGGGGGATGCAAGAAGGGGGCCTTGTTTCCAGCTCTTGACACCCACTCTGGCACGCTGTCACAACCCTTTCCCCCACGCCCAAACGAGGGTAGGAGAGGCACGAGAGCAAAAGCCGGAGTGATGGAAGCACAAAGCCCTGCATGGGATTCGGATAATCTTTTTCGCCGTCAGCGACCAAATTCAGCACAAATCCAGCCAGATTTTATTTCGCCCTGTCCTTGAGCTGCAGGGAATAACCCTAAGCCCCGCACCAAAGGGAGCAGCTCTGGATTCCTTCGGATTCGACTAGAAAACCAGCGTCGAGGTGGTACAGTAACTGGTGTGAATACCCCGGCATTAAAGAAGTAAAACGGAGGCGGTATATATGAGCAACTGAATTCCACTGTGTTTCTCTCTTTTCTTTCTCTTCCAGGTGAAGGCCTTTATCACGGAAGACCTTCCTCTTTAGTATCCTTCTCATGGGCTATGTAGTTCCTAAGCCTTGGAGCGGGAAGGAGGAGGGGGAAAAGAGACACCCTTGACCCAGGTCCAGAGGCTTGGAAATGGGCAAGGTAGCTGGTTGGAGACCTCAGTGGGGTAGGTCTCTGACTGAGGAGGCAGAAGTCGGGAGTTTGATTCCCCGCGACGACTCGAGAGAGAGAAGAGCCAGCCTGGGTGGCCTTGGGCCAGCTGCACAGGCGTCCCAGGGTCACCTGGGAAGAAGGGAAGGAGGAAAAGGGAAGGAGAAACCACTTCTGAGTCTTCTTAAACCTTTGGAAAAGGTTGCCATAAACCAGTATTGACTTGCACCTGGGAAAAAGGGAAGGAGAAAAAGGGAAGGAGAAACCACTCCCGAGTCTTCTTAAACCTTCGGAAAGGGTTGCCATAAACCAGTATTGACTTGACGGCACAGGATTCTTATATTATTGTTGGGGAAGTTATTTTTCTTAGACTACGCCTCCCAGAATCTCCAGTGATTATATGGCCGGTCGGGACCTTGAGTCCTACGGTTTGGAAAAGTAAACTTTCTCAGATCGATTCTGGCCTGAGGCAAACCTTCTGGTTCACAAGGGATTTTCTGGAGGCGATTGAAGAAGCCGAGGGTTGGATCAGGGAATGCGCAGGTTTCAGAGCCAGGAGGGGCTTGCTTGAGCCCTCCCCAAAAGTGAGCGGGTGGGGGGCGATGCGGCCTCCAGAGACTTCCCATTCCCTGTTTTTGCCTCTAAGCAGTGGTTTGATTGAAGAGGCCATTTAAAAGTGCTCAGGTTCCATCCGGATTTAATTCAGTGGCCCTACTGGTCACGACTGGTGAGAATCGAGAGGGGCAGCGACAGAGCTGAAATGCAGAAAATCGGGGGTTGCTCAACCTGAAACCCCAGCCAGCACAGCCGGTGGCTTCTGGGAGTTGTAGTCCAAGAACACCTGGGGACCCCAGGTCGGGCCACCGCAGGCCTAGAGGGTGATGTTCTGCACTTTCCTGCAACGGTGCCCACAAAGGCCCAATCCAGCCTCCTTAACTCTCTCTCTCTCTCTCAGTCACAACCTCGTCATGAAACACCTTGCCGGGGCGGATCCTGAACTGGTGCTGCTCAGCTCCGGATACAGAGAGCTGGAGGTAAGAGCAGATTTATCACCCTTGCAGTTGGCATAACCCACCAAAAAGGGGTTTAGTGGTCAGGGCCGTGCCAGGCAAAGAAGCCCGTCCTGTGACGGGTTCTAAGGAAACTCGTGGGGCTGGCAAACCGGTCTGGCAGGGCGGGCCTCTCTTTTGGAGACTTGCCAGCCAGCTGGGCTTCTGCTCCACTCCATTCCGGTTGGTGGGAGGGGGAGGCACCAGAGGTATCTCAGCGCGCCCGAGTGGCTCCAGTTCCTGCCACTGGTCCTTCCTTTTTTGTTAGAGGATCCCCCTCAGTGACATGACCCGGGAGGAAATCAACCACCTGGTCCAGGAGCTGGGCTTCTACCGGAAGGAGACCCCCGACGGCCCCGTCCCGGAGGAGTTCCAGCAAGCCCCAGCCAAGCCCTGGCCTGCCTCTGAGGAAGCCAAGAAGAACCCCAGGCCAGAGGAGAAGGGGGCTACGGGTGAGGAGCTCTAGAGAGATGGGCGCTCTAGAAAAACCTCCGGGCTCTAGAGATCTGGGCATTCTAGAAGACCTCCAGGCCCAGGTGGGTCAGCAAGAGGGCAAGTTTTTGGATTCTGGGCGATGCGTTGGTGCAGGATCCGTCCAGCAGGGCTGTGGGTGGGCTGCAGGAGGGAAGTTAAGCCAAAGAACACGGCATGGAATGCAAATGTGGCCCGTCACATGGAGAAAACACCATTTGTTTCTAGTCCTCATTGTTGCAGAGACATGCTTGGACACGCTTGTGCACTACCGGCTGACGTTTTGTCCAAAGTATAGGGCGTCAGCTTTTCGACAACGGTGATGATGCAAAATAAGGGAAGGAAAGTGTTTCCTGAAATCAGGCTGAGGGGCATGCGTCCTACAGGTTCCAGCCTCCACTTCTCCTCACCGCCATTGCCAAATTTGGTTTTCATTTTTTAAAAAAAAACCTTTAAACATGTGTACGAACCGCCATCTGGAAGCAACTGTGCCCTACGGTGGCTTGGGCCAAGTGGCCACCACGTGGCGTCAAGCCAGGTCTGGTGGCACAGAAGCTGGCCCTTGCCCCACTTCTTTCCGGAGACGAATTCTCGAGGCTGCCCCTCCGTTCGCAAGATCGCCCTCCTGCCGTCCCCTGGCGAGTCCTGCTGCACCAGTGCTCTTAAACGCCTTTGTTTCCGCTCGCCCCGTCTTAAGAACGGGTTGTTGTGGGTTTTAATCCCCCGCCGCTGAGCTCCATGGGCCGGGGACAGGATGAAGCCCTTTGCAGAAAACTCTGGTGCAGAGGGCCGATCGACAAAGTGTCCCATCCGGCTCAGGAGCAAAAGCATGCCGGGAAATATGACCCACTTCCCCCCCCAAAAAAAACCCTCTTCAATTGTGTATTAAAACATTAAAAAGTCCTGCTTGTCCATAATGCTGGAGTGTGTGTTTGGGTTGCGTCTCTGGGGTCAGAATGCTCCAGTCGGGACCTCCCTGAAGACCAGCCGGATGGTGGACGGGCCCCTTTCCTCCACACAGGGTGACCCTCACCTTGGGGCATTCTCTCGAGAGGGTGCATGCCGGGCATAAGCAGGGCTGAACTGAGCTGTGTCCCAGGCAGAGAGCCCGAAATTAGGGAGCCCACGCTTCTTTTCCTGCCAGTCTTTCTGCTTCCAGGAGGAAAGGATCGCTCGCTTTTGCAAAAGCCCGCGTGGATCATTTCCACAAGGCTTCTAACCCAAGGGCCGTGGGGTGCTCCTTAATTGAAACCTGACCCCTTCTCAATCTATCTACCATGTTTCTACCCTAACAAGTTTATTTGACCTTACCTGCCATTTTCCCCCAGCCTGCATTTGCCACGAAGGTATCTTGATGGTCTGCCGAATTATCCGTTCTCTGTATTCTAGTATAATTCGTGGCCATGCGGAGGGTGCCCCTCCTATAAACTGATCCGTTGCGGGGCACTTTGGAAATAAGACCTGAAGTTCTATAAGGTCAAAAGCCACTGTGATGCTGTGGATAGACTGTCTGTGCAGGACTTGGGTTCAAATTCCCGGGTCTCCCAAGTCCTGGGGAAGTTCTGGGGGTGGTGGTGGAAATGGAAATGGTATAACCCAATTTGGGGTAATAACATTAGGAGATCAACCCAGTGTGGGGAGAATAGCTGCACATGACCCCCCCTCCCATTCCTAAATGTGGGCTGAAGAGATCCAGAAGGCAGCATGCTTCCTTCATACTCTGATACCCGCTTTGTGCCCCAGGCACAAATCAAGACGGCCACGTCCCGGGGAATCAAGGGCTCCCACAGCTGCGCAACCACCATGGCCACCTCCGGTGGGTGGCTGAGGAGCCTCAAAGGTGCTCCCAGGCGGATCCCGGAGCGTATTTGTCCAGAAAAATCAACATCACTGTAGATGCAACCTCTTTGGCCTGCTTCAATAACGCCAAATTATTTCAGTCCGATAGAACCGACGAGCCAAAGCTATCCAGAGTGTTAAGTAGCGGACGTTCAGATGGAATTGGGTGCATTTTTGGAAGGGGAAAACCCCGGGGGGGGACATTTTGCGACTTCTTCTTTCCGAGAGGCCTTTCTCCTTGCCCGAGGAGAACCCCCCTCCCTTTGGGGTGCCGGTGCCAGCTTGACGCCTGAGCCTTGAAAGGAGAGTCGGGCCCTGCATGAGGGCAGGACAAGGAGAGGCAGGAAAGGATCGGTCTATCCAAACCTTTTTATTGTCTCGCTGGTGCCCGATACCAACATTCTTGTGCTAGTGTAAGAATGGTTACAATCCGGCGCGTGGTCAAGAGCCGACAGCGGTGCAGCGGAAGAAGCCCAGCCCATGGTCCACGTGTGCCCGTAACCCCAGATCCCATCGTTCCCTCCTGGCGTGACCCACCACCATCGCCACCTGCCTTGCCTTGTTCACCCTCTTGCAAAAGGGATGCCCGGGGTGTGTGTGTTTGTGTGTCATGGAAAGAAGGTTCCTTCCAGCCGGGAACCGTAAGGAGCCAAGCGTCCAAGGCGAGGTCCCAGTTGCTGGAATGGAGCGCAGTTGGGGACGCGGTGGTTTCTTTAAAAAATAATAATAAAAAGGGCCGATGGGCACTAGGACCGCCAGCACGGCTTGGGAAGAGTTCTGCCTGAAATTTCTGGAGAACCCACGGCTGCCAGTCAGAGCCGACAATACTGGCCTAGATAGGCCAAGAGTCTTTTTCGGTAGAAGACCCAAGGGGTGTCATTTCAGAAGCGAAGTAGAGTCGCACCCGGTTTGTCTTTAGACAGCAGATCGGCAGGAAGGGCTAGAAAAGGCAGCTGCCAGTCAGAGATGGCAATACAAGGCTGGATGATGGACCAGATTCCATTGAAGACCCCCTTTTTTTTCTCTGGTCTGTGCTGGGCAGTCCCTTCCTGGCCTCTACTCTCTCATCATCTTCAGGGAGGAAGCACCGATGGGCCTCATGCTTCCTTTGTAAAGGACTGGGACCTTCTGTCTCCCTCCTTTAGACCTCCATGGAGGGACAAGGGCCTTTGTGTGTGTCATTTAAAAACAACAGCAACACACACACACACACACTCCGGTGGCGAGTCTGAAGCACGGACCGTCGATGGCACGCATCCAGATCTCTCCCTGTGGAGGGTTCTGCCATGCTTGGGAGGGTTTGGAGGTGGGGAAAGCGCAGGGTGCAGGCTACAAAACTTTTTTTAAAAAAGAAAATAACTTACAGAAAATATTAATAATAATAATATAAAAAGCATGTGTGAACGAGGAGGCGCCGACGCCGGTCCTCTCCTCAAAGTGACGTGCCAAGATGCCCCACCGCCCCCACCTCGCTTAAATGGGCGCCTGCCCCGCCCGGCTGCGATGGGGAAGGGGGGTGGGCAGGAGAGGACCGCCCCTCGGCCATCTCACTGTAGGGAGCTTTCTTCCCAGGGGGAGGGAGGGATCGGGGCCAGAGGTGTGGGCACGTCACGT